CAGTATTTTCTCATAAGAAGAATCATACAACAAACCTTTCACGTAGTTAAACGCCTTTTTTTTTGTGTTCGATATTATCTTAATACTGTATAATGAGGCTGTCCATTGCATTGGTTTATTTCAGTAATTAGCCTAAAATGCATCTGTTACTTGGCAGAAGTAACATAAATTAATTCATTGTTCACCTTAAAGACAAGCACAATAATAAGTAACTATGAGTAAACCAAAACACAAACTTAACAGTGATTTCAGAACGACTCTTTCAAGCGTTTTATATTGAAAATGGCTTTAGATATTTAATTTATGGATTTTTGTAAATGAATATTTGTGAATAATCTTTCAGATTCCGAACTTGGTATTGATATTTCTGTTTTGTCGAAATTTGGTCATGCCAAATGATTCTTTGGGAATCACTAGGCAATTTTTAAACGGGAACATTTTTATTGCATCTATTACCTAGCTTTTATCGGAAAATTCGCCTTGGCATAGCTGCTTATGAAAAAATTGCAAATTATAATCCTGCAGTTTTCTTTTTTCCGTTTGGTTCAGCTTCAGAGAACAAAACAAATCTTGTAAGATTTGAGGTTTTCAGGGCGTTGAGTATGAAGAATGTAGCCTTCTGGGATGTGACGCAGTGTAGATACTGTGCGAATCGACTTTCCTCCGAAATGTCGGTTCACACAAGATCTGCACGGCGCCACATCCCAGAAGGCTACATTCTTCAAAACTAATCTTTATAAGCTATTTATATTTGTAACTTGGTCTCTGACATTAAAGGAGGAACATACACCGAGGGTGTTTGAGAACAGGGTGTTGAGGAGAATATTTGGACCAAAGAGAGATGAAATCACAGGAGGTTGGAGAAAACTGCATAATGATGAGCTTCATAACTTGTACTCTTCTGCAAGTATAATTAGAATTATCAAGTCAAGGAGGATGAGGTGGGCAGGTCAGGTAGCACGAATGGCGGAGAAGAGGACTGTGTATAGGATATTGGTGGGAAAGCCAGAAGGAAAGAGACCACAGGGAAGACCAAAGCGTAGGTGGGTGGACAATATTAGAATGGATCTTAGAGAGATAAGATGGGATGGTATGGACTGGATAAATCTGGCTCAGGATAGGGACCATTGGAGGGCTCTTGTGAACACGGTGATGAACCTTCGGGTTCCATAAAATGCTGGGAAATTCTTGAGTAGCTGCAGAATTGGCGACTCCTCAAGAAGGGCTCAGCTCCATGAGTAAGTAAGTAAGTAAGTCATTCATTTATTCGGCCAGAAATTTTTTCGAAGTTTTTACAGGAGTGCTTTATAATTTCCCGAATTACGAGTGTTTAAGAAGTGGTTACAACGGCAGTCTCTGTATGCCGCATATTCGGGCACATAATAAGGCAGACACTCGTGATGGCTGGTTAGTTGCTTCCCTTTGTTGCCTTTCCGTCATGACGCATGCGCAATATTAGCTTGTGTACTTGCATCAGGCCTCCCAACCATTACACATGTTATAATTACTTAATCGAGAGTTCAAAGCAGCTTTTAAAACAGCCGCGAAGCTGGGGCTGCTATAGGAAGTTTTCCAAGAGACACTCAACACTTGCAGTACAACATGTTTCAGAAACTGGGACTCCATGTTATCTGAAGTAGAGCTTATTCAGTTAGACTCCCTCGTAGTGAGTACCTCCTTTTCCAAACGGATAGTTATTAAAATTCCGTTCGTCAGAATGAAGCTGACGTCAGCATCATGACTCAGACCGGTGTGCGTCAGTTTTCATAATCTCATTCGTTTCAACTGTGATCCTTTCTTTTCGTCATGTCACAGACATTGTCTCTTGACTGTTACATATCTTGACGCTTGCCGGTGTGCGGCCTACCTAAGGCTGACAAACTTACCGCCATCTGTGAGCCGATTGTCTAGAGAAAATGTGGGAGCCTCGACGTCTCACAACCCTATGGGCATCCACAGCCTGTTACAGAGATAGCTTTACCTTTTGCCTTTTTTATAATCCTGTACAAACCCTGGACTGTGCCGCGCCATAGCTCAAGCGGTTAGTCGCTGGCTTCCCACCCCGGGGGCCCGGATTCGATCCCTGGTCTGGTCAAGTGGGATTTCTGGTGGACAAAGTGGCGCTGGGGCGGGTTTTCTCCGAGTACTTCGGTTTCCCCTGCCAATTTTCATTCCACCAAATTCACCATCATCATAATCACCTGGGACAGGCTATAATAAGACAATCAGTGGCCGTCGTGCCGGTTGGACCCAGCTGGACTCCACCCCCCATTAAGCGATTTAAAAAAAAAACCTTGGCCTGGAGTGGCTGAGACGACCATTATGAATATGAAGGTAGCGAGACCTGGTATTCAGATTATCCGAAAACAACATAAGAGCATTGCTAAGGAACAGAGTGAAAGCTGGCTCAGAATATTGGGAACAGTTCCGGGCTGAAAAGGAAGACTTGGGAAGTTGAACTATAAGCAAGTAACCGGCCTGAAGGTGCAGAGTTGTTCTTGAGAAGCTGCTAGGCTCTCCATCGGTCACGAGATCCTCGCCTTTTGCAAAATCCGAAGTTTCACTCTAGTTTTTCACATCGAATCCTAACCTGAGCTTTAAGTTAGGACTAAGAAATAGCCGTTTTGAATTCCAGCAATTAAATTTCTGCAGTGACAGATGAAAAATTACCGGGAAAATTCGTCTATTGCAGAGGATACAAACTCGTATAGGAAAATACATTACAAAACAAACTCCGTGGTTTTTAGTCCGCAAGCGAACTGTACCTACCGAGCGACCGCCGCTTGTCTGCTAAGTTAGTGCCAACTTTAGCGGATAGAGGGTGTCACGTGATCAGCGCAACGGATCCCCACGGCCGTTAATTTCAGTATTCTAGGCCGGAGTCGCTATTTCCTTGAAGTATNCCGGAGTCGCTATTTCCTTTGAGTATCTCAATTTTGAAGAAAGTTGTCTTCTGGGTTTAGGCACCGTGTATTCTTCGTTTTGGCCGACGTTTCGGAGGAACGTAGCGCCTCCATCTTCAGAGGNTACTGCACCTCAATAGTATGTTATTTCGTAATTCCAGCTCTTTATATTTCATGGCGTAATTTTGCTTATAAACAATTCTCTTAACACTTCCAAATCCACATTATCCTTAGTTGTACTGTATTTCTTATATGAAACAAGGAAAATACGAATTCGTATTATTGTTCTGACTTTTATATGGGCAATAAATATAGAACTGTGGGCAATAATGGACAGATATTCTTTCAGCGAGAATGATAAAAACATAAAAAATAAGTGTCTAATTCAGTTTTTTTCCCAAGGGCCTAAACTGACTTGTGCGGACGCTCCCTAATGGAGAACTGGATAGTAATCTGGCAGGGGGGTTGTAATGGTTTCAGACAAACAGTCTCTAACGTAAGGGTGCAACAGGAGCGCCCAAGAAATTCATGTGGTGACGACAGAACGCACCACCACGGACTATATACGTTGTTGAAAACATTAGACTTACGAGTCTGGAAGCTGCAACGTGGAGACACTGAATTATCTCAGAGAAATTCGTGAAAGAGCCGAGTAAAATTTAAAAATTAAAAGTTATCTGAAAATGTTTGCCCACACAAGCGCTTCTGCATATTTCAGTGAAACATATTTTTACTGACCTCAATATTATTATGTTTGTTACAGAATTAAACAAATCGTCTTATATAAATAAATAAAATAAATAAACGATCTCTGAATTTGCTCTTTGGTAGTTTCCTACACTTTGCACATAGAATCCACTTCATCATTTTAGGTTCGAATATTTTCCTTAGTAGGCCTACTTTTTTTTTTTTGTAAAATTCTGCGTTGTATGTCCTTCATGCGGAGTAAAAGTCTAAATTTCAAAACGGTACAAAACTTTAGACAGAATATCTGATATGCGACAATACTTTTAAGATATTTTCTCTCCCCTGTAAGCAGAAGAATGAACAAACTTCATTAGGTCCTACCCTATCCGAACTTGTTTTCTTCAATTCAGTGTTCGGCCTCCCCTCAGCTCTCGCATCCTAAAAAAAATTGTCCCGCATCTCTTGAGACTCGTGCTCTTGGTTTGACCTCAGTATGACACGCGGGGTCATTTATCATTTGTGACGGCTTGGTTGGGGTATCATGACTTGTGGAGGGACGTGTTGCCGTCTTTTGCGCTCTGACGAAGAGTAAACCGCGAAGTAGAAAAGCAAGCAGAAAGCAAGAGTGACTGCTCTTTGCTCACTTGGATCACATCTCGACCCTGAACATGGAGGCAATACGTTTCTTCGAAACTTCCGTAAACTTCTACCGGACTACATGGCGCCTCCTCCGGAATATGCCATAGTCAAGGCCGTGATGTCCCTAAAACTCCCACAAACAAACAAAAAAACTCCGTGGTCTGTAGTCCGTAAGCGAACTATACCGACCGAGCGACCGCCGCTTGTCGGCGAAGTTAGTGTCAAATTTTGCGGATAGAGGGTGTCGAGTAGTCAGCGCAACGGATCCCCGCGGCCCTCAATCTCGGTTTTCTAGACCGGAGTTGCTATTTTCTTGAAATAGCTCCTCAATTATCCTTAATATTCCCATGTATTTCTTCTTTTTACGGTGATCTATAACATCTTTAAATGTAAGAATGCTTGAATCCATCATCTAGACTGGCTCTGGGACCCACTTAGCCTCCTATCCAATGGGTACGGGGGGCTATTCCATCGGGGGTAAAGCGGTCGGAGCGTGATGCTGACCACTCGCCTCCAACTAGTGCCGAGGTCAAGTAAACGTGGATCTATAAACCCACTCTCCCATACGCCTTCATGGCGTGGTGCTTAATTAATTAAGCACAGGTATAACTTTACATTGCCCTCTAATGTTGGGCGTTTATGAGTTAAGAATCTTGTTACCTTTGCTACTTCAAGAGCTGCGTTCAATTTATATCAACACTGTCCATTGCCTGATAATTATTTAGTATATTGGACGTTTCGGAAATTAATTTGACGCCCGTCTTCTCCCAGAATTTCCTTGGAGAAACTGAGGACTGGCTGGAAATCCTTATGCTTACTGGAATCAAGGGATCCGTGCCAATGCAAGGGGGACGGCCGGCGAAGCTCAAGTGGTTCATTGCAGTGTCACAGGAAGTGGAGCCACGCCGTGTTGTGGTGAGTTCGCGCTTGTTGTTTCATACAAGTTGGTAAAAGTGGGACTACAACTTTCTGGACTTTACCCCTAAATTATTTTCAATATTGTCATTATTTGATGTTCAGTTACTGTGTATGAAAATTCTGAATTTGTCAATGCTCCAAATTTAATTTGATTTGTTGTAAGTTAGACGTGGATTTAAAATATTCTTAGATCCGACGCCAGAAGGACAATAAACTGGAATTATTTTGGCCGTTGCATATTGCTTAGTGCTGATATAGTATTGCAGCATGTAGAGCCGTTACTAGACAACAACCGCAAGATAAGTAATTATATCAAAGCCGTTACTGGGTAAAGCATTTCGCAAATAAAACACGTTCCCATGGAAACGAGTTGAGCAACGTCTCCACAGCAATAGGAGTACTGTTGGAAACGGTGTTTTCTACAGTGGCCCTTGCGGAGGCGGGGACCAATACCTCCACCTTACCTCTGCCAGTCGTAGGAGGCGTCGAAAGGAGAACCTAATGCCTGGGGATATAAATGTGCCACCCTGCTCCTAGGGGATACAACTATGGGAACCTGGCCATCCGGGTTGAGAGAGTCTCGAATCTGAGACAGTAAAATGTTGTCATGAGTCCCGTGGAAATTGGATATGAGAATGACTGCGCTGACGAGGACCAGCACAATTGTAAACGACAGACCCATCCTATCGTCAGAGACGATGTTACATAGGGACTATAACCGCAAGTGTTCAGTTGAAAAGAATGCCGGTCGTGAGTCTCAAGGGGCTTGTAACCAAGACGAACTGATTGGCGGTAAACCTCCAGTCGTAAAATAACTCTGACTCAACTCTGACTGACTTCAGTCTCAAGGGAGTCGCCATTCAGAGAGGACTTGAGCCAGGAACCACAGGAATAGCCACTGTTAGAAGCCGTTACCAGGCAATTACTAGTGAAGACACTGCTGGCCGGAAAAAAACTTAGGTGTAATATAGTGATTTTTAAAGTGTGGGAATTAGCGATGGCCCTATAATTAAGTGTAATTACGAGTTATGTGTTAGAGTGGTCAATAAATCCAAAGCAAAATCCGACCAAGAGTCATTCAAAATCATGACAATATACATGAAGTTTCGGGAATCGATTTCAGTGCCGTCTTTATGTGATTAACTGACAGTGAGAGAATAGTGACAGAACTTTCCGTTTATAATTTTCTCAACGCAGACTTGAAACTGACTTCTTGGTATTAAACCCGGTCCTTGAAGATAGGAAGCCTGTGAAGTAGCTGAGAAGCCAGTGACGTTGCATGGATTTCCTCTGATTGTCGTTTCCGGTTTGAGGTTCCATTTGTTGCATAATGGCGGCGTGAAGCTTCGACTAAATAGTTCAGGCAATGAAGAAAGGCGCGTGATGAGGAAAGTGAGAACCAAGCATGTTCCGCCAACACAATTTATGAGTTTACTCCCCTGGGGGAATTTTTCTCTGCTGCTGACACTGAGTTGGGAGTGACGCCTCTACAGGGAATTCCTCGCTCTCGCATTAACACGAATCGATCAAGGTGCCTCGGACAGGCGAGATGATGGATCAGCTATTTATAATTGATCCAACACCTCCTGCAACCTCCCAACTTAGAGTAACCACTGCGCTGGTGTTCTCCTCGCCACAAGATGAAGGAAGGAAACGAACGAACTTGAAGTAAACGAAGCCGCACCGCGGGAGTTTTAACTAGAACACTTCAAGTTTTGAGGCAAATTTATTATGCTACATTCTGATGCGTAAAAGTAATTGCTTTACAGTCTCTCAGTAGATTATGCACAAAATATTATGGGTAAATATCCAAAGTAGACTCTTCAGTATCTTAGAAATCAATGCCACCTCAAATGGGGGGTTTTGAATCGAAAATTCGGATTGGGGTAGTAAATATAAATGATTTTGAGCTAAATATATAATACGCTACTGTTATATAGATCCTATTATCTAATACTAATCAATTCTAATACGAGTATATACGAATCAACGAAGACAAGATAATTCCACGACAAAGAAAATTTTCTTAACAACCACACAAAGACCTGCCATATACACGGGCTAGATTTGCCTCAATTATAAAAAAGCGGTTACATTTTAACTTTCAAGGTAATTTTTACGTTTAATATTGATATTGTAATTGTCATGCGATCAGTTATTCTATTTATTTAATTACATTTTTTGTCTTGAATAAGCGACTTTTATTTTTATCTCTTATAATTTATGAGAAATTGTGCATACCGTATTTACGCATGTATAGGCCGCAAATTTTTTGCCAAAAATTCAAGAGGAAAACTGGGGTGCGGCTTATATTCGAAATATTTGAAATCACACTTCATTAGAAAAATATATATTCATAATTAGTAATACAGGGTGTAATACTCCTGAAATAATATTCCAAGAAAATTATTTTTTCTATAATTTCTGTCTGAAAATTGTGCTGCGGCCTACACACGCACGCCGCCTATACATGCGTAAATACGGTATATTAAAGTACAAGCAATAAGTAACGTTTATTAAAATGTTGGGGGCGCACGGTAGCGCAGTTGGTTGAGGCACTATGTTAGAAGTTAGAAGGTCGCAGGTTTCATTCCCGATGAAATCAATGGATTTTTCAATTGACCTAATCCTTGCAACCACACTATGGTCCCGGGGTCGACTCAGCCTCTAACGAAAATAAGCACCAGCAATCTTACTTGGGGGTAAAGGGGGGACGGCGCGTAAGGCTGAAAACCTCACCACCATCTGTTAGCCGATTGTTTAGAAAATGTGGCAGTCTCGACGTCTCACAACCTTATGGGCCTCCACGGTCTGTTACAGAGATGGCTTTACCTTTTTACCTTTGCCTTATTAAAATGTTTACGTAATTATGTTTTATATTTAATTGCCCGATGTACTGGTAGTCCTAAGTGGAACAGTATTATAAAGACAGTTTCCTTGTAAAATGTTTTATAGCTGTAATATAAATAGCAATTATTAATTATGCAATAATGCTTTGAGAAACATACAATAGAATTGTTAAGATGACAACGAATTGTCGAAAGGTGTAGCTATACTCACTGAACAGACTGCGATAATGAGAAGTGCCATTTTCCCCAGCTTCTTACGAACTCTCAGCTTATGTAAGGAACAAAAAAGTCTCTACATATATACAATTACAAAGCATTTTAATATTAAATACCTAAGATATAGTCCAGTCCAATAAATTGCTGCTGGTTTTCGCCAGCACAATTATTCTTGATTCTGAGTCCCACGGGAATCACAACCATATTTTACTCTCTGACGATTCTGGGAGCAAGGTGTGCTCAGCCTTCTCTAACTCCCGTCCTCTTGCAAGCGCTAGCCTAGGTTGGCTGCGGTTACGTGTGTTTTATTTGGAGTGACAATTATGGTTTTACACCGCATTTTTGTTTCAGATATGAAAACTGAACACAAAAGACTGAAGTTTCAGTGCTATCTAGAGTCTCCCCTTTAGAGACCAACAGACATTTCGCTCTGGACTCATGCCGTAACCTACGACCCTCTTATTTGCAAATGATGCAGCAGTGCTCGAACTCCCACTTCTCAATCCCAACGACTCTCCTCCTAGTTGTTTTATTGACTGGAGCGGGGCGGTAGCTCTAATTCATTTCACCTACAAACACATTTTCGCTCACTATTTGTTTAACGTTTCAATTTATCTCAAGTGTAGCCAGCCCCACCCTTTACAACAACCCCATCGTATTTATGATGCTATAGACCTGTTATGTACCTCCATCCCATATGACTCAGTAAATCTTATCGCGCTAACAATCCCCAAGCAAAATTCATTGTTGGGGCACGCACACTAACCAAGTTCTCGCGTTAAAAATTCTATAATGTACCATATGTAGACATGTGAACATTTGAAAAAGAGACCGTTTTTAACAGCTGAAATAAAGTTTTTCAATTTCAGTTCCAAATGGTAGAACTTCATTTCGTTTATATATTTTTAGATGAATGTGATGCTGTTAAATATAATATGAAAATGCACATAAAACCTGTGATTCAGACATGAATTGTCAGTTGCTAGCCGTTGAAATGTCATGTCAAACAAAACGTCTGTAATGAAAAGCTCCAAAAAAACAGGGTGTACCACAAACGCAAGTTGAGCATGATCAGAACAGAGCTAATATTTATGACAGTTGTATGTTAATGCAATTATTGGTTATTTGGGCAATATCCATAGACCTGTTCTTTATTTAAAGTAGACGTTTCGGAGACTGGACACTGTCTCCGTCCTCAGGTAAAAAGGGTTTTAATGTGGCCGTTAAAACAACAATTTATAAGTAAATAAATCTAATATTAAAGTGCAAATACCCTTTTATTTCCATAGCCCCTACATATTTCAATAGGTGTGATCATAATCGGGGACACCCTGTAGCGTAGTTGGTTGATGCACTATGCTACAAGCCAGAAGGCCGCGGCTTCGAGTCCCGATGAGGTCATTGGACTTTTCAACTGACTAATCCTTCCAGTCGCACTATGACCCTGGGGTCGACTCAGCCTCCAACAGAAATGAGTACAGGAATCTTCTTGGGGGGGGGGGTAAAAGGAGGCCAGCGCGTGATGCTGGCAACCTCACCTCCATCTATGAGCCTACAGTCTAGCAAAATATTAGAGCCTCAACATCTCACATAACTATGGACCTTCACAACCTGTTACAGGAATAGCTTTACCTGTTTTTACCATGAACATAATCAGGTGGTTACAACAAACGCCGGAGATAGGGACTAGCTTTATCGATTGGGCCGGCTGAGTAGGCTTTTACTTGAGGGCGGAAACAGAGTCAGGTCTGTTAAACGTCGTTCTTAAATACAGAACAAGATGGCTGATCATGTCCAAAAAGTCGATATATTTATGATCATAAAAATATATTTTTTCAGTCCATTGTATATCATTTTATCTCTAGATATATATGTATTGAGGAGGCCAGTTCTGCTCCTTGAAATGTATTGGAATGTGCCGCAGTG